CACTTATGTAGATGAATAGCTGGTTAATTCAGCGCTACATATATTTGATGATTAAAGAAGAATCTAGCAGAATCGTCATACTTCTCAGTGACATTTGGTTGTGTCGTTGTTAAAGAATATGTAAATAGAGAAAACAGTTGCGTTGTTTTAAGGGGATTATTCAGGCGTTAAAAAGGGCTTATATAGTATAATGTCATTGTTTTGTCTACAATGCCACTGAACTGAAGTGCAGGCTTTATTCTTCTGCTTCATTTTCAAGCATCATCAGCGAACACAAACACTTAACAGCTGATGTCATCCTGAAATAGTCTTCCGCTCCACTAGTGCTAGTAAAACAAATACACAGGATTAATTTAGATACATGCAATTTTACACAAAACGTACATATTTATTCATTAACGTGACATGTTTTTGGTGACGCTTTGGGCTGGTTGTGGTGTTCTGCAGAGGTGGTGTGTGCGAGCATCAGCATCTCAGCACCCGCCCGTCAGTCGCTATCACGCTTTTAGTGGGAACGTCATCAACAGTTTAGACCTCCGTCAGCCGACAGCTAACACTCCAACGCGCCAATAAATACCACCTGTTTGATGGAGGACGCGGCCGATAGACATTAGCTTATAGCGCGTGGACACTGTCTGGTTCTATGCATGTAGGTGCATCAAGTGATACAATAAATAATGTTGATGTTTTCAGAATGAACAGAAACACGTGTGCTTCACTAATGGTTTAAGGTTTAAACATAATTCATCCAGATTAACCGTTAACGACAGTAACGAAGCGTGCAGGTCTCACACTCACACCCAACAGGCCGTTTCACAGTCTTCGATCGGACGGACCTGCATGTGTTTGAGCTGCAGGAGCGTCGGGGGAACGTTAGAACCAGAACCGGGGCTCTAACCCAGAACTGTCTCGCTGAGAGGTGACTTTGCCATCTAATAAGTACCCTTTATTTCCTCTCACGGTACTTATCATTGATATAACAGATCACAGGCCTGCTTTTCATTGGACTACTTGCAGAACGTGCAAGTTAGCCGCTGGTCTCGGTGTTGATAAGCGCTTGTCCCGAGTGTTGTGTTATTAACCATAATTATGGAGGAAATATTCTGCTCAAAAACTGCGGCAGCGGTGTGTGTGTGTGTGTGTGTGTGCGCTCTGTACTGGTCATTATTTGCAGTCGTCATTTTGTAACTGAGTGCTGTTGCACATGCGGGAAGATATGGAGCCATTCATGGGGAGATTGGGAATCCCACCCGTGAAAAGAAGGCACAAAAGAGCACTACTCAGAGAGGCGGTGGGCGAGCACATGCCGAACGTATCCAAGAGCGTAATGAGCCAGCTTCATTGTTCGGGCCTCCACATCCGTCTGTGTGGTAGCAAGGAGTTTGTTCCAAGAAGCAAAATGTCTCCTAATTGGAGGGCAATAAAACCCAAATATGTGCTCCATCCTCTTATGTCCGTCCATTACGGTCTATATCCAGAAGCTGTCGACCTTCACACAGAAAAACTTATTTACAGAAAAATACTCTTATTTGTTCATTTTGGTTTCCAGTTTTGGAAATAAAACCTACTGGAGTGTATCCTATTTGTTATGGATTACAACTAAAACAGAAAAATCTGCTGTTCTGCTTCTGAACGCCTCCCAAATTGGGGTTACAAAGGTCTAGAAGCACACGCGAGGTAATGGATTCAAATTCAATGTTTTGTAAAGCTTGTAAGGTCAAATTGTTGCTTGACGGAAAAAAACAGAGTTTATCGACCTTGGCTTTCTCTCCCCAGATTTCATGTTTAACAAGAACTGTTTCATCACAGTATTCGCCTCAGTGGCAGAAAGTGTGACCTTGCCTTAAAACGCGTTGGTATATTTAGAATAAAATGCAGAAAAAAAATCTAACTGTTGTGATTCCTTAAGACGTCGGTGTTAATCTTACCGTCTTTCGCATGTTTGGTTGTGTAACAGGGACAAACATCACATTGCAAACAAATATAACATTTTCAATCCAGCCCAAACAATTAAATGAAGGAAAAATCATAATTGGGAAAACAACACACCAGACTTCATCTTCTCACAGAGAAGATTTGCTTCATATTAAAAAGCAGCAATAGCTTTAAGGCTCAGGTAGTAAAGAAAATAAGAAAGAAAGAAAATAAATGAGAAAGTCCTTAAATAGCACACAGTGTAATATCCCAGAAACACGTTCAATTTCTTTGGCGAGATATAATTCTTGTTGTAATGTTGTAAAGGTCATCAAACCAAAGTCCTGAGATAACAAATACACCCATCAGCGTATCTTCTGCCACTCGGATCGGCCTTTCAGGTCTTTGACTGCAGTAGATGTACGAAATGTAAGAAGCAAACCTGTCCGTTGCTTCTGGTTTCACTTTATGTAGCTTGAGAGTCAAAACTGGGTCTTCCTCTCCTCGCATATGAAACTCGGTGTCTTTTGAATGCAGCTGATCCACAAAGTCCTCAAAGGACAAATTACGGAAACAGCTGCAATTAGCGGCTGATTTATATATTGTGGCGGGACCTTGGGGACTAATTAAAGCCCCTTTGTGTTCTTGTCTATCCGAGGCATGCTAATTTAAAGCCTTTTGACTGATTCTCCAGAACACGTCTCAAATTCATGCGTCTCAATTTGCAGGCGCCCGCTGCAATAACCAACATTCAGCTGGCTTTTTAAAAACCTGAACTTGTAAACATATTCCATAATATTGCAATCCCTACATCATTAGAGGAGCTAAAAAGAGCCGCTTATCCCTCATCGGACGAAGTTGCGGGAGCTCTTGCACATTAGGGCTTTAAAGCCGCTGTGCTTCTGAAAAGGGGAAAAAAAAGCCAATCATCCGCCGGAGTTTCTCCTCCCGACGAGCAGGTCCCCCCCTGTTTATTGAATTTGTTTAAGTGCATCCGAGCAATGCGCATTTCATCCTCTTAACAGTCAAATTACTATATACTCCAGCAATTACTTAATGTACTCTAATGAGATTTCCCCGTGAAATGGAAGGATTCATTTATTTTAATGCGACGCATTCGGCCGGGCGGTTTTTATGCCTCACGTCCCCCCGCGACCCGGCGAGACTTAAGAGTCATGAATAGTAAAGGTGAGACGTGTGAGTCAGGGAGGGAGGGGCTGGGGGAGGTGAGGGAGGGGGGGGGTCACAGGTGCTATTTATCCGTCACCTGGTGGTCTCTCGGATTGGTGAAATGCTACCAGCTTGGCAGTCTGCATGTGTGTGTTCTAGAGCACAAATAATACAGCAAAAGACTCAAATGAAATAAATCACTGGGTGCTCTTTAAATCCCATTAGGCCTAATTAAATTAAATTCTTTTCTATTGATTTTTCTTTCTGTGCTGTTTGATATATAATAATGGTGTGCATATAAATCCAGTAACTGTTTGGGAAGAGTGTCCCTAATTCAAAAAATGTTGAATATTATTTCAAGAAGTACTTTAACCATCCGACTGGACGTGAGGATCTCAATATTCCTGTCGGATGTACTTAAAGTTTTTAATCCAAAATGAATTGATCACAGCGGTATTTCTTCTTATTGAACATTGTTACGAGTGTTACAATCAAGCTGCTTTAGTTGTTTGTTGGATATCTAAAGGTTCTAGTAAATATTGATTGAATCAGCACACCAGAAGTAAACCTTAAGATATCTGCTACTGTGAGTCAAGGTTGGAAAATGTTGTGATCTGCATGCAGGGAAACCAGTTTAGCAGACGGGCGTCTCTGTAACAATATGCACTTGATGGAAGGTGGCTGAGACGTTTTCCCTGTTATTCAGATGCATGTTTTGATGAGAGCGGAGGTGGAGGAACCACAGACTCCATAAGCTGCTGTTCCTACGGGCATCTTTTAAAAAGCTGTCTAAACTGTCTCCTCAAAGGCTGCAGCGGAGCCACGGAGGGACTTTGTCGTCTTACGTTTGACAGCACTCGGCGTTTGGTACTTTTCCAATTACACACACATGTTGGAACTTTTTAAGTGTTGACATGACAGTGAAAGATTGCCTAAGAAAATACTTTAAGAGTAAGCGGCGTTGAAATAGAACAAAAATGATGCACATACACAATTACGCACAAGTGAACCACACACACACACACACTGATTCACATGTCCCGACGCTTTTGGTATGTTTTGTTTAATGGAAGCAACTCCATGACAAGAGACATCTTGGGATGGGTCCATAGCAGGAGTCACCAGTAGCCCGGGCCGGGCCACTTAAAAACAAGCTGTTTAGAATCCTAACAGGTCAATATGATGTTAGTGGATCCAGCTGAAACTCGTACTTTACCTAGTTAAAAACAGGGCTACAATAGGCAGTAGGGTTATACAACCAATAATCCATAAAGTGGTTGGTATAATATTGGTGGAGTTCCACTGACCTGAATGTAATGTTACATTTACATATTTTTTATACATCCTCTTTATCATTAAAATTCCATCCATCTGTCCAACTATTGAAAACAGATGTTTTTCTCCACACCGAAGGACGCAGCGCAGCACTTTGATGTTCACATTGACATGTTTTATGGAAAAGTCCGGCTCATCTGAAAAATACTTTCCTTTGAATTTTTGTATAAAAGAAGAGTGCTCACGTCCAGCGATCTGCTCCTGCCATGTGGTATTCCTGTGAAATAAAAGGACATTTTAATGGAGGGACAAGAGCCCTGGATATCCTGCCCTGATGGACCAGGCAGACACACACAAATATATATATGCATACACTCCCTAGATCCATTATGGCTTTAGACTTCAAAGCTGATATTGGTTTTTCAGCATTCGAGAGGGTCGCTCTGTGTTTGCTGAGCAAATTTAATACCGTGAGTTATGAGCGCTGCTCGCTGCTCGTCTGAGTGCAAACGCCTCTAAATATTTCTATCCATTTGGGGCCGGCCTGGACTTGTGTCTGTGTTTTTCCTTTTGCCGTTATTGTGTTCTGAGACTGGGTTCCGCGGTCTTCACCCGCCTCTCTCGGCCTCTTTTCTTTTCAGGTGGGATTTTTGAACAAACCGACGGACCCGTTTCGCTCGTTAGCGCGGAAGAGCTCGCCTTTAAATTCGCCGTCAACAACATTAACAGAAACAGGACTCTGTTGCCGAACACGACGCTAACGTACGACATACAGAGGATCAACATCTACGACAGTTTCGAGGCATCGAGGAAAGGTGAGTGGCCTGTTTCGCGTTCATTGATGGTTTGTTAACCGTGATTGTTAGTTCCCAGACGGTCTTCTCTCGCTCCTCTCCAGCGTGCGACCAGCTGTCTTTGGGTGTGGTCGCGATATTCGGGCCCTCGCACAGTTCGTCCTCCAACGCCGTGCAGTCCATCTGCAACGCGCTGGAAGTGCCGCACGTGCAGGTGCGGTGGAAACATCACCCCATGGACAACCGAGACAGCTTTTATGCCAATTTGTACCCGGATTACTCTTCGCTGAGCTACGCCATCCTGGACCTGGTGCAGTATCTCAAATGGAAAACAGCCACAGTCGTATACGACGACAGCACAGGTGTGCAGACTATTATATTATACTAATATGTCACGTGACCTTATCCTCGATAATCGTCTTCATCGGTGCCGTGTCTCTCTCCTCCAGGTCTGATAAGACTGCAGGAGCTGATAATGGCCCCGTCCAGGTACAACATACGGCTAAAGATCCGTCAGCTCCCTCTGGACACGCAGGACACCAGACCGCTGCTCAAAGAAATGAAGAGGAGCCGCGAGTTTCGCATCATCTTCGACTGTAGTCACCAAATGGCGGCACAGATTCTCAAGCAGGTGGGTGGGAGACCGCCGATCGGCCCCCGTCGCCGATGTCGGATCCGCCGGACAGCGATTGGTTCTTTAGCGTTGAGTAGATCCAGATGTGTTGAGGATGGAAACATGGAGGCTTTGACTTGGCGAGCGGCGGTGAGGGAGTAGCAGCAGAAGGTTTGTGGGTCAATAATCAGCGATACTCTGGTGTGGAGGTACTGGTCTTCCACTTGCGCCCCTCCACCAACCCCAAAATACAGCTCCCACAGCCTCCCCCCACTCCCCATTCACTGTGCTGTCAGCCTCTGTTAACACATTTACCAGATGCATCATCTGCTGCCCTGTTATTTAAATAACCCAGTCCTCCGGAGTCACTGAGATGTGAGTTGACGTGTATTCGCTCGTGGCCGCTCTGCTCATCTCCACCGAGGAATCAGTGACCTCTTGAGAGAAGAAGTGAGAGAAGGTTTAGAGGCAAAAATGCTCCTGACAGTTGCAGTTGAGGACCACGTTGTCACAACGCTGTATCCTCAAGCTTTTAAATACGGGTAACAGGTGATTGGTTATGAGTTTGATTGATTTTTTTGTCCATATCCGGTGAGATATCGACCATTGGTGATTTTTAATCTACATTATAGATTATAGACATATAGGAGGCCTCTACATTCATTGTACTTTGCTGGGATACCTTAAAGAAACGTTTTGTGCGGATTTAATTTGTAAAAATCAAGCATGAGTTGCAAAGTCGCAATATTGCTTGTCTATTTTATATTTTTTATTTAATATATATTTGGGCTACAGCTGAGGTATATTTTTACTTTCTTTTTAGCGATTTAGTGATAGAAAAAAAACATGGTCTTTTCAAACCGAAAGGACCAAGACAGATAAATGTTTCTTGGTATAAAAGAAAATGGATATTTAGAGTCTAAAAAACGTGTCTATAACACAGATACAAACTAAAATAGATCTAATTACATTCTATCTGGTAAACCCGGCTGCGAGTATTATTGTAGCACATGTGACTCATGTAAAACAATGTTCTCACGTAAGGAAAGTGTGGATATTATCGTGGTTTTGATTTGCAGGCAGCAGTGACAAAATGTACCAGCTACTAAACTACCGTAAAATAACGTTTTCTGGCAGCGTTACAAAAAGGTCGATCTCATCCAAGACAATAAGCAGAGTCCAAAGGACCGACTAAAATGATGTGTAATCTGACACGGCGGGTGCGGCAGATAAAAAGGAGAGTTTGAATAATGTTTCATTCGTCATGTGCTGATTCGTAACACTACTGGGTTCTTTCTTCACCCTGACGGGGTAAATATGGAAATAAAGAAAACTCTTGCACAAAGTTTCAAAGTGACGTATTTGGCTGGATGTCGATAGAAGAGAAGTGACTTTGCCTCAACATAAGTACAGCATCTTATTTATATACCCTTGGCTCCCCCCCCCCCCGACAGATGGTACAATTAAATAGGCAGAACAGCCGCCATGGGAATGTGGGGCCTTTGAATGTAGATTGAGTGAAACAAGTGGCAGTGATGGAGCATTCGGATGTGAGGCAAAGATTAGTGAGCTCTTTTGATTCAAGCTCCTCTTCTCCGCTGGAATAACGTCACGTGGCCCCCGAGCCCCTGCAAACCGCTTCAATGCATAGAAAAGCACCGAGAGCCTCTGAGGACCTCATATGGTGCAGAAACCCCGACAAGCACCAACAGCAGGTTGTCCACAGAATGATCAGCGGTGTTCGTCAATACGCTCCTCTTTTGCACATCTCTCTAGTATCTTCTCTTGCGTGCTGTTGATTCTAAAATGACCTGACGGGACCAAGTGACCATTTTCTCCGTCCTGTCTCTGTTCATTTCACCTTCCCGCTCTTTGTCTCTGTGTCCTTTCAGGCCCAGACGATGGGGATGATGACGGAGTATTACCACTACATCTTCACCACTCTGGTAATGTACCGTGCTTGTTAATTCAAATAGAGTCTTGTTTTTTCTCGCCCCCCCCCCCACCCCCTCACCGCAGGTTTTTGATGAATAGTGGCTAATTGCCAAAGGGGTTTGGATCAGGTCCATAGTATCAGTTTTGCTTGACAAGCTGGAGGCATAATGGAGTCTTCAGTGTGTCGGAAACTCTGCCCTTCTTCTTATTGTGAAGTCAGACAAATTCAACAGCATGAGACTCAGAACTGAATATGGCTTCGACGTTACAAATACAACAATTAATCCTCTACCGTCATGAACAAATGAATTATGTTGCCTTTTTGCAGATCTCACTTTACGATCATCACAGTTGTTTCTATTGTTTTGTCCACCCCATGAATGTCAATGAAGGGTAGTGAGCCCTTTTGTTTACTATGTAATACATATCCTCATTAGCACCACAGGCCTCCAAAATAATCAACATTTTAAAGTTGAATCAACAAAAACTAACCTGAAGTGCATCATCCTTCTTTTTTGAAGACTGTTTGGTCTTTGGATTTGGTTTTGGATTAATTTTAGCTCGGTTCTGAGTGGGAATGTATATATATATATATATATACATATATATATATAATATATCTCAACAGCTTTTTGCTCTAAAATGTCAGATGGTTCAGGCTGTAACATGATTTATTTTTCATTAACAGATGTATTTTACTGGGACCTGCGTATGTCACTATTTCATCAGTATTTTACGTTCTCACTCTGATAAAAATACGAATCTCCCGTCTGACTAATACGAGCAGAGCCGGCAGGGAGCCGTCGGCGCTCGCCACTGGGACTCCGCCTCTCTGGAGACAAACAGACTGAATGGGAATGAATACCAGCGTGATCTGTGCTGTTCCTTTCATTCTCTGTTATCATCAATGTTTCCCCCCGTGTCTCCCCGGACCTCTCCGGTCTGCTGCGATAATGTGACATGACACAAAGGTCCGGGCATCACATGTGTCATCTTTCACACTTGACAGCGTGGCCACGCCATTGTTCTGCCGTACGTGGCGTTCGCATCGCGCGCCTATTGCTGGAAGGAGGGGATTCAAAAAGCTGCTTTCAGTGCCATTATATTGGTTCATGCGTTTCTCAAACAGGTGGAAGGGGAGAATACCTACAAGAGGATTTGCTTAGATTCTTTTTATTTTATTTTTTTCACAGGGTATCGTCTGGAATCGCTCTGTGCCATCAATCTGAGGCTGCAATCGGCTGTCACATTGATAGACGCACCATTAAGGAGATAATACCTGGCGGCTTGATTTGATCCAAAATGATGAATACTTGTGTAGTACACTTGGCAATACAATTTCCTCTCCCTGGAATCCACTGCTGTCTGTGTTTTATCTTCCCGGGGGAAGGGAAATGCCGACTTATTAGAGCGTGCAGGGGGGGGTAATAACTTCCTTGTCCTCTAAAATGAGTCTGTCATCGCTATCTTTGAGAACCTGAAGCTGAGAACTTTGTTACGCATAACGCTGTGCGAGTAAAGGTTCTTGTGTAAAGCTGCTGTAGGAAGATGTGGATTTTGTGTTTATAGATGTGCGTAGAAAGCAGCAATGCAAAAAAAAAAAAAAGTGAACTTATAATTGAAACAACTCACTTTTCAGACATCCTAAAACGCACTAATAGAAACGAAGATGTCACAAAAGAGAAATGATATTTGAACAAAGCGTCCTGTCCCGGTTAGTTTGTATTCTTAGCTTCAAACACGGAGGAAACTTGTAACCTGATCTACTTTTTAACGTCACACGCAACAACACTGGTTCACTTTGATCTGCTGCCAACCAAAGAAACACAAAGGAGGAGAGAAATGTCTCAAAGGCCGGCGGCGACCGTTCCTCCGTAAGTGTCCAACGCGCCCCCCCCCCCCCGGCTCCAGCCCCACAGGGTGCTAATGAAATATCTACGTCCATCCAAATGTCTTTTCCGAGCCCCCCCGGCGCTTATTCCGGCATGACGCGTGTCAACATGTGACTTCACACTCGGGCTACAGCGGCTGCACCAGAAATTACACAGCGGCTCAAATTGAATTGCTGAGGGAAGATGCCAAGGGAACGCAAGTGTTGAATTATTAATGCGAGCCAACGGAATTGGTGTTTCTTTTTCATTCTTGTTCTTTAATGTCTGGGCTACAAACAACAAAATGCCTCCCAAATAAGGAATTTGCAGCTATAAAGATTTCCCCGCACGGATATGATTAAGGAAGACGAAATCAATCACAAGCGTGCGGTTTGCGCGGCGTAATTCATTATCAAGTAGGCTCAGAAAACAGTAACAATTTATCAACTGTAAAAGGGTTCGCCGGCAAGAAAGCGACTCCGCCACCAGAGTCTGTTTATATCGCATTTATTGCACGGACGCCCAGCTTAAATCTCCTGATTTGACATTGAAAACCACTGCGTTTCTCTTCCTCTTCCCATTTGGTCTTAATATAGCATCTCTTTGATCAGCAGCTGCGTCATTCTCTCCTCCATGTGAGGAGAAAGCAATGCAAGGCAGACTAAACGAGAATCCGCCCCGCGTGTTGTCTCTCCCAAAAGGACCTGATGGCCATCGACCTGGAGCCGTATCGCTTCTGTGGCGTCAACATGACCGGCTTCCGCATCCTCAACGTGGACAACCCCCAGGTGGCCTCCATCGTGGAGAAATGGTCCATGGAGAGGCAGATTCCACCGAAACCCGACTCGGGCCTGCTGGAGGGGGTCATGACGGTATGTTTTATTACTTTTGCGTTGAAAGTCAATACAAAGGCACCACCTCGTCAATCCATCCGGGGGCCTTAACTATCGATTGTGGCGTTTGCCGGCGGTAGAAAATGGTTTTAACCTTAAGACGTACCAGGAAAAAACAGTTTCAGCTCAGCAACTACTGTTAGGTCAATTTTCTGATGTATGTATGAAGCACAAGAACAGAGGAAGAGGCTCAGCTACAGTTTGACTCAATGTTGACTGGTGTGGACGCATATTTGAAATCATTTTGTATTAAAAAAAAGTGGTGAGACTATTGGAACCACTCTGATTCCAATCCTAAATAATCAACTATTGTCCTGAAAACTGCACCATACAAGTTATAGGAGGTTTAGCCTCATACAGACATTTACAGATAATCTATCCAAAAATAAGCTATAAAAGTGAGAACGGTTCAACGGATTCCTGGTTTGCTCTGGCTTGTTGATAGCAGGGTGAGATATTGGCGAGGATAGCACGTATCCACTGGTTTATCTTTACGCTTTGGACAGCACAGATGGGGGGATATAGAGCCGTGGAGCACATCCATTAAGCCCTTATGCACCAATTACGGCATTCTCCCTTCGCATTGTTCCAGAACAGGTGCGTCCCTTTACAGCCAATCACTTTCAAATGGACGGTTTGTAATGGATAATTCACCATTGTCTCAGTATGTTTCTAGTAAAACGATTGGGACTCTGGCCGACTCCAACGGCCACAGCGTCCAGATATTAAAACCCGCTACAGCCCGTTTGGGACGAGCCGGGACGTGAATATGGTACAAATAGTTCTGCAAAAATGTAATTAACAGATCTTTATGGAAGGCATCGGGCCCCTGACGAACTCGGACCGTAACAACAGGATCCTCTGCTGGAGGACTCAGGCTGTTACAGATGTGATAGCTACAGTTGTGCTGACAATAAGTAGTTTGAACACGCAGGACCTTTATAACGGTTTCCACATTGGTACGATGGTGACCGAACCATAACGTACGTCTTCCCGCAGGCATCAGCTGAATTAATGTTCACCCCTTATTCCAGACAGATGCGGCTCTGACCTACGACGCGGTCCACATCGTGTCCGTCTCCTACCAGCACGCCCCGCAGATGACGGTCAACTCGCTGCAGTGCCACCGCCACAAACCCTGGAGATTCGGAGGGCGCTTCATGAGCTTCATCAAAGAGGTGAAGAGACATATTTGTCCGGTGGTTATGTGATTACGTATGTTTGATCCTGCTGATTGAGGGGAGTAAATAAGAATGGCGGTGGATTGTTGGACTGTGCAGTCATTTGAGTCTTTGGATATTTACCCAGAAAATCAATGCTCTCCACACACACGAAGCAGACCATGCCTTGATAGACACATCAAAGCAGTGTTGTTGTCAGCTGCACAAATCCCTCGTATTCATAACCTCTTTTCCAGAAATGCACGTACAGTAACCTTTTGAAAGCACAACCAGTGTAGTTGGCTGTTATTTAATCTAACACGAGAGTCTGACAGTGCCTCAGAATACACAAAATGGAAGATTAAGGGTGCAGAGATGCTACTATTTGTGTCTTGGTTTGTTCAAACAAGAAAATGATTTGTATTTTTATTTATCCTGGGTGTGGTTTATGAACAGTATGAATTCCATTTGTTTTTCTCCTCAAAATTAACGCATTAACCTCCTGGATCTACTGTATTTCTCAGTCTTTGCCCTCTAACCAGGATCTCTCATCCGTGGTAACTCTCCAATAAATTTGCATATACCCACAGAGCAATCAGAATGATGGCGATGGGGGGGCTGTCCATGAAAAAGAGCACAGCCAAACCTCTTTCCACTTCCACTTATCATTAGCAAAATGGCTGACAACTTATGTTCAGTACCCGTGGCTTCTTCCAAAGGCCGTGTCCTGCACAGGCCAGGTCTTTGTTGCATTTTTTAGTGATGATCCTTGTTGAGCTGGCGTGAAAATACTCTCAATAATGGTTGTGTTCCTTTTGAACAACAGTTTTAGCAGCAATTCCTGCAAGCACAGTGTGGCAAAGGCCTCTTCCATTACAATGCACAACCAAACATTTGAGCATTAGCGATCCAAACAAGCCGCTGTGGCTCATACTTACATCGTCAATGTAAGAAATACACTGTATGGTTTGGTTGTAAAATAGAAAGACACTCAGGGCTGATTTACGCTCGACGGGCGTCTGACGTGTTCTGAAGGTCGACTCGGCCCTCCGGACGGGACGTGGCCGAGGCATTTATGTCACTCTCTGAATTAGAGCTGTTTGAACATGCCACCCACCTCGGTGGCAATAGGCCAGATGGAGCGAGGTAACGGGGGGGCGTTTGGAAGCAGAGAGTGACGCAAATTTCTCCTTGAAGCTTCGATCTTCTCGCGACAGCTACCAACAAAGACAAGGGAGAGCTACAGGCTGTAGGATTGTGACACTTTGGAGAATAATATGATGTAAAAAATAAACGTAAAGCACACTTGGCACACAAGGATCGGTTACTCTTTTGTATCAATAGTGGTTTGAGGCATCCGGTGCCTGCATCACAGACCGGGACTGAATGAAAGTGGCACTGCCACACAACTAAAGAGCAGTTCATGCACAAAGATCACAAGAGACAAAGTGAATGAGTTAGCTGGAAAATACATCCTGGCATGCCATTTTAAACCGAATTCCTCCCACTTACACATATACATATATGTATGTAAGTGTGAATCTGGTACATGCAAGAAGCCAGGATGGCCTCATCTTCATTAGCACAGCTTTGAGAAGAACGGGTGGCTATGAGCGAGTTACGGGAGGCGCAGTAATGTGAATGTGTGAATAAGTATAAATGTGTAAATGAATTGTCTTTCAGTCCCACTGGGATGGTTTGACGGGGAGGCTGTCGTTCAACAAGACGAGTGGCCTACGTACAGACTTCGACCTGGACATCATCAGTTTAAAGGAGGAGGGGCTTGAAAAGGTATATTTCAGTCTCTCGGTAGCGACGTGTTTCACCACATTCAGTTTGACAGCGAGAAACAAGAATTTAATGGATTACTCATCTCACGGATACCGCTCAGATTTTCCTTTTGATGCGGAAGGAATAATGCAAATTTGAATATATCATTTACCTCCTAACAAGGAAGCAAATTGGCTGTTTCAACAAAAGCACAAGTTAGTGGATCATAAAGCAAATTGGATTAGGGTAAACATTAGGCTGTTAATTGCCGCCTCTCTTGATGATAATTTGAGGTGATGCCCAAAATGCTGTTTGGTGGTAATGAGCTGTATAAACATGTTTTAGAAGAAAATGAACTAAAAGGTTGGTAATGTAGAACTTATTTTATTACACTGGAAGGCAAAGTACCCCCTGGACTATAACAGCGTTTCTCTTCTAGAGGGCTTTTATACATTATGAATACATCAAAAAGGAATAAGTTCCATTATGACTTCCTCAAGTACTCCCCAAAGGCTCCACTCTGTAAAGCAGCAGCTTTCCAGCTTCCAACCCTTCTGTTCAAGGGTAGGGCAAAAAGAAAAAGTGCTGCTTTGAAATGATTCTTCTTCTCTATTTCACCGCCATCGTGTCCTGTGTGCGGTCGATTAAGTTAAAGCACAGACGTGGCGCACAAGTATTTGATGCCATATTAACATCTTCTCATTGTGCCTGTGACAAATCCCGCGTGTCAGCGTTGATCCCGCAGCGCGCCGAGGATTTCTTCTCTCTTGTATATCCGTGGAATCGGCTTTAACCGTTGGAACCAGTTAAGATGTGGACTTTTTTTTTCCCGACTAATCCATTGTAATTGAATATTAGCCCTAGTTTGAGCTCCAGCCGGAATTATGAACAGTTTCTCAGACACTCAAATCCAGTATGCTGAGGAAGGTGAAATAAATGCAATGCTCTCCGAGTGGTTGCATGAGTAAATAACTTTCAAATCAAATATTTGGCTAATTGTGTTTTAAATGGATGCAGCTAAAAGTAATTAAAGTGAAACCAAATTTCCCAAAGCCAAAAGCACTCAGATATGTTTTTGAATCTTCCCCCTGGAGTCCTCTTTGGTTGTGTGACAAGCTGTAACTAATGTGCTTTTCAGGCCTAATTCCAGCTCTCTCTGGATCAGGCAAGGAGGACATTAGCAGACGTTTTTGTGGCTGTTCTTTGTCTGTGGGGGGGGGGCATAACTTTAAATGGTTCCACCTCGAGCACAAACCCCAGTGAATGTATAATAAAGCCGTGTCTGTAGTAATAAAACCACGAGGCGGGATTGGAGGAGAGTTTAGTGGAGGGCTCGACTTGCAAACAAAGATTGTTAGCGACAGCCACGGGACTCTTTGTGCTAACGATATGTTCCTCAGTGCGTCCCGACAATGTGCAGAGATTTTTTGCCCGAGGGCGTCTCGCATGTATAAATCCCTTCATTTCTTCAAATCTCTTGGCTTATCTCACTGAGACCGGGGAGCAAAACCACTTTTAGAGCGTTATCCAACATCCGACCCCGTGCCTCACCTTCATTCAAACGCAACGCAGTCTCACGGCAAAAACGTGTAACAGCTACGTTATGGACCAACGTGGGATCCTCACAATGCAATGTTTGATTTGCAACTAGTTCACGTGACTATCGACTTTCCCTCAGCTAACAAAAAAGAAAATAGCAGACTGTCGGTCTATTATCTGTGAAAAACACAATATTTTAAGAAAGCATTAGTATGCATTTTGATGGCATTTCTAGCGAGACGTATGTGTTATATTTTCATAATCTTCTATCAGAGAATGTAGAAGACCTTCCGTTTATTAGTTTCTAGTGACGTAGTTGCATGTAAATGAATGGGCCAAAACAAAACGTAGTATTGTCACGATTTTGGGGAGAAAGCGCGACAATACCACGTTGGTCCAACGTAGCTATTACGCGTATGTCAAATGAACTGCAACCTTTTTGCAGTATTTGCTATTTTTGACAATTCTCTGCTAAACCAATTGTTAAGCCCTTCATTTCTTCTTTTATGTGCACTTTTTTACACCCTGTCAGAAACCGTTCCAAAGTAACAAATCATTGCATCATCAAATGGTTCAGACTTATTTGATTCGCCCATCATGCTTTATTTCCTTCAAGACATCTTCACCTTAATGCCTCCTGGTTTCAAACCTCGACCTCCGACTCGGCGATTCAAAGGCGAGCCAGCCAATCATATGATGCGTTCAGCCTGGCGCTAATGTGAGAGGCCGGGTCGGAGAGCGAGTCTTCTGGGGTCACAGCACAGCGGACAGCACACAGAACGCTCGGCTACGTGCTTTTCATCTTCCGCAGGTGGGGAAGTGGAGTGTGTCCGGAGGTCTTAACATCACGGACGTGCCCAAGCGAAAGGGGATGAACATCACCGACTCCCTGGCTAACCGCTCCCTCGTCATCACCACCATCCTGGTAGGTCTTTGGGTAAAACATGTGCTGCTGTTTTCGTCTCCTTGGTTTTCGTTTTTGGGCCGCGTTGTGTATATTGAAGGACTAGTCGGTATCTAGCGCTGCGGTTGCAGGTTCCAACCAACTGAATCCCCATCAACGGCCTTCAGGTGACACCACCGCGCAAAGGAACCACTTTTCATGCAGACACGAATGGCTCATTCGAACTTAACGAAAAGATGGCTCCTAGTTTCAGGTGATTACAAACTAATGAAAACTAAGATATGAATTTAAAATCTAATTTCAACCAGAAAATACCTGAAAAGGCACGGAGTCTCTCAGTGTTTAAAAATAAAGAAAAGAATTCAGACCGTGCCTTCAACCAACAAATGTAGTTACCTTGGGGTTAATTAGCTCGCTAGCTACAGCTGATAAAATAATCCATAATGAGAAATCTGCTTTTATCTAAAACCACCGGTTCATTGTTCTGAAAAATTTAACTTAAAATGACAATGTTGGATCTGCGTCCATGATTATAAGCTGAATAAGTACGCTGTGCAAGAATGGGAGGCTTTACAGGTTTAGTAACAGGAACCTCAATTATCAGCGATTCAGACGAGGTTTTAGAGTAACATTGTGAGCGTGTTAAATGAGCTCTGCAGCACACAAAAAACAAAGAAACCCCGGAATGAACCATTCTGAAGGCAATAATTAAAGATCTATTCTTTTGATCCGTGGTTGTGTGTACTTGACCTCGTCGCTCCCTAATGCACCATTTCAAGCTGCAACAATAGACACCCTGATGATGCTTCTATTGGAACATACGGTTGCTATTGTGACCAGTGAGGTCCTGGCAGCACAGAATTAACCCGTCAGGTGCCATCCGTTTGAATTCTGTCTCAAAGAGGACAAATTGAACACTATTCATGGCAGTTTTGGGTGATTTGAGTTGCTGTTAAAGTCGTGTTAGTGTAGATTTGTTTCAGTTCGATTTCCAGTTATTTTAAATCAGTGGTTCACACACAAACGGGGACACAACAAATGATGACAAATACACCTACAAACGAGTAGTGGAGATTCTCTCGGCCCCCTGGTGAGACCGATGGAGAAAATATGAGATCAACAAGGTGCATAAATAATGTGTCGTGATGGACAGATTTGTGACTGCTGTAAAGCGCAAATCAGAAAATGTGTCCAACACAACAACGGGACACCGTCTTAAAATGCTAGCGGGAGACAGTATGAAGCCCACTAAATAGACAAACCCCCCCAGCGTGATCCTGTGAACATAATCCGATACAAAAATCTCACGTTCAATGTTCCTGTATCATCACAGGGGGGCTTGACAGACAAAAAGTTTGGGAGCCACAGCCTCAAATGTTAGATCATTTTCACGCATTTGATTATTTCTGTCACGTTCTATTTTGTTGTGTACTCTGAAATTGCTGAAGAGAGTTTCAACTTTAATATCAATCTCCCGCCGATGTAATGACATTGCATCAAACTGATTCAAGTGATGCATGAACAAGACGTCTGACAGCTTTATAATGATAACTTTCTCCAAGAGATTAAGGCACTTAATGTGTTTTTCCTCTTACATTAATTGTTTGCACTCCATTGCCTGTAATGTCTCCGTGCGAGCCCACCTCCCTCCTCGTTCTGCTATGCACGCCGCCCATGCTGCGACTGTGATGGCACAACTGGTATAAACACTTTGATTTGAGTCCAAACCTTGGGGAATAGCAACGTTTGGAAGGCTAGAAACAGATGGTAATGACTTTTTCCCTTGACATGCAAACTTTTTGATCAACTCAATTGGACAACTTGAGCAAAGTTTTTGGACGAGCATTTGCTCCGTCAATGCTTTTCCACGTAGCAACTTATTATTTATTCAAGCTCAACGAACACTGCAATCTTTGTCCACATGCTGTTTTAGCTCCACCCTCATCACCTCCAACCCATTCAAAAACATTCCATGAGCAAAAATACATTTTGTTACTGGATATTTTTATTTTCACTTAGTGAGGTTGTTGTTGGTCACCTTCACCAGAGAATAAATTACTGACCTCACTTTGTAAAATATGTATCCGAGGCAGTAAATTGTGTTACAGGCCTTGCACATGGACCAACATGTTCTGCAAGTTTCTCATGCCGGGTAAAGTGTAACAGGCACTAATAAAGGAAATCATTTATGAGCCATTCTGTGCCAGCCATTGTCACTGCAGGCGGCGTCTCTGCTGCTCTCCCCTGGAGATTGGTGTCAATTGACGAAGGCGACGTCGCGGGCATGTTCCATTTCACTGCGGCATTCTGTTCCTAATCAAGCTTTTATACGGCCCAAATTACGAGCAACCAGGCATGATATTACAGCCAGTAAAAGAGTGTCAGCCACCTGACCGTAAAACGAAGCGACCTGGACGCTGGAGAGGTCGGGTCGAGCCAGCTCAACGCCGCGGGCACATTGATAACATGAACGTTATTTGAATGCGCGTTGCATTCAGGTAAGCAAGAAACAGACTTTAATTAGCCTGGTTCTCCTTTCTTCTCAGTGCAACAAACCTCGGCCATTTTTCATATTTTAAACAGCCGCTGCACCCGCGCTCTCAGCCCCCGATCCGCTGTCACCGCCTGTTAAAGGCAACGGCAACTCAGCAGCTCGGATCACTTTGCCCCAATTAAGTGCACGCGCTGAAACAAATTGAAAGCGCTGACCTCGGCGTTGCTTTCCATTTGATCTTTGGGGTCTCTGCAGGAGGAGCCATACGTCATGCTTAAGAAGTCTGACAAGGCGTTGGTTGGGAACGACCGGTTCGAAGGGTTCTGCGTCGACCTGCTCAGAGAGCTGGCCAACGTCCTGGGCTTCACGTACGAGATCCGCCTGGTGCCCGACGGGAGATACGGCTCCCAAGACGAGAAGGGCCAGTGGAACGGGATGATCAGGGAACTCATAGAGCACGTAAGTTGCACCTCCTGTTGTCCGCTGCACATGTTTGCTGAAAGAAGCGCCTTGTGGAATATTCCTGTTTGCTTTCTGGGCAAGTTGCGGGCTTAGCCGTTGCCTGGCAACTCCACGAAGTTGCGCTTTCTCAGCCGAGGAATCCTCCGGCATATCGAACAGATGACTAAACGTGTATTGTGTTAACCAGTGAGCTTTGGTCGGGTTTTTTAGAGGCGGCCAGACGCATGTTTCCTGTTTTTTTGCTCAGCTAAGCTTATCGATTTCCGGCGTCAGCTACATATGTATTGTACGTATACATGGGAGGGGTGTAAATCTTCTATTCCAAGTCCAAGAAAGCTAGTTAGTGTATTTCCCAAAAGGTCAAACTGTTCCCCCACAATGTGCTGCATTGCTAAAATGATGCGGCTTCACACGCCGTAAAAATTGTTTTACATCATGACGCAAACTTACAAAAGCATGCCATTGAACCGCGTTGAAGGTTGTGTCCTCTACGTGGGCAGTGATATAGTTATGATTGAATACAAGTCAAGAAGAGCCTGCAAAGCTGTCAGTTACATTTATGGCACAATTATGTCAAGGTTGCCTAAAAGTTACAAGTGTGTTGATGTCATTCAATGAGGCGAACCGCTTCCTTCAGCCGCAGAAGCCAGAGACCCACGACGAGCATGCAACCCTGCAGATGCAGTCAGGACGCGCGTGCGCCATCATCCCGCATCTCGGGCCGTCTTTGTCCAACTCAGAGCCTCGGCGGCCGTGACGCTGAAGAGATGGTGGCATTTCATAAGTGTCCCTGTCAGTGCTCTCCCTTTGTCCTCAGCCCCGGCGGGTCAGCGCTGTACTCAGCTGAAAAGTTGTAATAGCTTAAGTGGCATTTAGTGCAGGGAATCGTATGGCAGGAGTCAATGGCTTGGTGCTGAAAGGGTTGGGAAAGGTGAGCTCCCACTGCAGCACTTTATTTCTCCCCTCCGAGCTTTTCGCCAGATCCATGTTAATAACAATAACCTTGAGGGGAACAAATGGATTACTAAAGGCAGAGAGCTCCTGGCGAGATGCAGAGATGCATGACCCGTGCGTTAAACAGAACATACGCTCTCTGTAGGCTATGCTTGGTAAAAAGGGAAATTGTGTAGGTCTTAATTATCTTACAGCACAATAAAAACAACCTATTTTTGCTATTTGCTGTTGTCGTTTTTGACATATGGTTTCCATGTGTTTTATGAAGATATAGCATTTGGGGATGACTGAGATGTTCTAGACTCATACCATTAATTTCCTCTATTTGCTTTTGGTAGTAATCAAACAGTAGAAACATACAGATATGAATGGTATTTAAGTAAGATTTTAGAGAGGAGTCTTCTATATTTTACCTTTTTTGGAGGTTTATTGCTTCGTGAACGGCCGCAGAAGTGAAGATTAGATCTATACTGCTATTTATTGCTTTTACTGCTTCTTATCGCATGGCCAAGGGTGCATGAAGGCTGCTTTGTGGATTTTTAGTGGGAACCATCTTGCGGTCTGGTGCTTTTCTTACCCGTCGCTATGGACAAGCTGATCCGTGACATAGACGGACATAAAAAAAAACACAAACTTTGACTCAAGCCCGAGAGATCTGACCCTGGAATGATATCAGAGACCAATGTGGCTTCAGATTCCTCAAGCGACCGCATTGCCGTCACTGAGCTGATACTTTTTGTAACTAACAATAGCTGCTGTATGTAAAATAATATTTACAAAAAAGAGATTTTACGCATGAATAACATCCCGTTGTGTTGAGAGATAAAGAAGGGAAAAGTAAAAGAACTGCAGGCTTTTATCTGTTCAATTTGCATTCAGAACTACTTTCTATTAATCTGTTAAAACCCTTTCTAGCACTTATTGTTCTACAGGCAGATTGGACGTGTTCCAGTTCACGAGGGATCTCAGCTGAGTTCTTTTAAAAGTATCAGCCATTTTGTTTCCAGTATCACTCACGCCAAAAATTCCTCAAAATCTTTATGTCCAAACTGACAACCCACAGCTGCTTCCCAACAATTATTCTAAAGCTATAATACCATTATCTCCATGTTTAACTAGTGTAACGTGCAGCTTTCGTGCTCCTCAGTGTAGTCACTAACTGCGGTGCCAAAGGGCGTTGTTTGGAAGGTGCTAAGTGATGCAACAGGCCTTGTTAAACTTAATTTAGTCATAATAGATGATCACTTTAATCACGCTGTGATGCAAATGTTAATAGCGTGCTTAGCACATTATTTGTTTTCCATCGCGCCAATTCCTGTTTCCCCTCCGCGGATACACTGCAAGGTTGTAGCCAGCCTACAGTACAACCTTTTTTTGGTTGGTAACGGAGGAAAGCATGCGACCGCGAGAGAATGCACAAGTGCTGTTTTCACTTCCGATCCGAGACGACGGGACGACATGGTGGTGGGAGGATCTGACCGGCAGCTGCAAAGGGCAAAAGTTCAAGTGCTTCTGCAGCAAACATGTCCGTCCCGTCTGACAAGGGCCCCCGAAGTAAATCACAGTTCCAGGCCAGCACGCCATGAATGCTAACGGTAGCGCGATTGCGTTGCATAGGCTTCATTGTTGGCCCTTTGTGTGGTATGATACCAGAAGGCATTACATAAGAGGCGTATCTACACCGTTATGCTCAGAAGAGTGTTGTGCATCAATTCATCGCTGTGTGTTTCCCTTCAAATCACAACTTCTTATATTTCCTCCGCATTGCTGCAGCTCTGTTGAATGTAGTGTCCAATGCATAGTTCAGCAAGGTGGTTTTCTAAAACTGCACCACATTGTGACTGAAGCTAAGCTGCTCTCGTGCTCTAAATGTTAAAAATAAAGAGAGGATGCAGCACAGTATCCCCATATGAAAGTGCTATACAATCATTACATCAGCATTGTGATTGCGAGCTGTCATATACATATACAGACTCTATAGCGCAGTGTGCAAATGTTTGCTGAGAGATAAAAAGCTTTGGTTGGAAGCAGAATGTAATTACTGTGTCTTTGGCACTGCAACAAATGCACAAACGTCCTCTGCTGTTTTATCAATTGAGTAGAAGAAAACCAGAATAAGAGCTGCGTGTAATAACGCTCGGGTGCTGTATGTTTAGTGAGCGGTCGATGGCTCGGAGGGGCCTGCATCGCGCAAGTGCTACTTTCGTCATCAGGTGAGGAGGTCCGCCGGGAGAACAGCACTAAGCCCACCGTCTGCAAGGCCAGATTACACAGAGCCATGTGGCACGCAGCAGGGCCCTATCAGGTAATCTTAATTGTGCCCAGTTTGTGTGCCTAGGCGGAAAGTAGAACAAGGACATGCGGCATGTATATTAGCACACCGCGGGGATGTTTGGAATCGCACGCCGGTTGATCTTCCAGCTGAATGACGGGTTGGTTCAAAGCTGCCGTTGGCAGCAGAGAACAGAGGCACCAGTATGGGAATGCACAAATTTGAATAGTTTAAGAGGGACAGCAGACGCGCTGCGGGGAGGCGTCGTTTTTCCCCATCGTTGCTTCTCCTCAGAGGCCGCCGCGTGTTTAGCTTCCACGGGGCTGACCGCAGGAGCGCACAACCCACGGGGCCACGCGGCGGATGGGAAAAGTTAAGCTCGTGTCAAGAAAAAGTATTTTTTAAAGGAGTTAAAAAAACAAATGAGATGACATCGAGTGCAACACATCACTAGAATGCAGAACATGGCTCCGTTATTCAGCACCATGGCTCCATTATTATGGTCTTCTGGACCCAAAACCAAGATGAAATCTCCGGTTGTTTGGTAAAAAGGCTGTGTGGTGGGCGGTGAACGAGCCCCGTTCTCCTCTCTCCGCGCTCAGCGTGTAGAGAGAAAAGAAAGCCTCCCTTTGTGAGTTGTGCCGTTTCTTGGAGCAAAAAGGCATCGGAGCGTGAACCGAGCAGCTGGTTTCATTAACCTCCTGTCCAGCCAGGTTGCAGGCCGCAGATTTAACCGGCAACCTTCTGAATATGCAGTCATACGCGTATAATAGTGTCGGCGACTTATGTGTCACGCTCAGCCGTGTAATATTGCATAATGCTATATGTTGTTAAGGGAACATTGGAGCGATGTGAAAGGCAACGAGACAGGAGTCTCACGTTCGTATTGTTCGCCTCACGGAGGAGGCCACCACGTTCACGCTCTCCAAACTTCAAACGGCACACAGCCCTCTGAGAATGTGTATTCTCCCAGTAGATGATTTCTAGTCGGAATGACATGCGTGGGGAGGAGTCCACAGGGCTCGGACACAGCTTAGTGTTTGCATGCTAACAATGCTAGCATGCTGGGACTAGAGGAAAGGTCACAGGTTCAGCAGTCATTTGAAATCATGTCTTAAAGAAGGAAAACCTTGCCAATATTAAGAAGCAAATCCGATTTCCCCTTACTAACGTCGTATGTCTTTCTGCCACAGAGAGCGGACTTGGCCGTGGCGCCTCTCACCATAACCTACATGCGTGAAAAAGTCATTGACTTCTCCAAGCCTTTCATGAACATGGGCATCAGCATCCTGTACCGCAAACCCAACACCACCAACAACGGCTTCTTCTCCTTCCTGAACCCCATGACGCCGGACATCTGGGTCTACATCCTCCTGGCCTACCTGGGCGTCAGCTGCGTCCTCTTTGTCATTGCCAGGTGAGCGCGTGAGTTGCGCGCCGCGCGTCCCAATCCGTCCTTCACGCGTTTCCCCTGCAGGTCTCTCCGCGGACGCGGTGATTTACTGCGACACCCCGTCGCAGGCGGAGATTCGAGTGAACCAGCCAGTGATCATACGGTGCTGGATGCTGGGTAGTGATCAAGGGCAGTTATGTCTGCATGGACTGGGAGGGGGAGGAATATAAATAAAAAACCTTCAGTGGAGTCGCAACGTGTAATTTATTGCCCAATTTCACGTTTCCTGTGGTGTCCGCTTTGGTGAGGCGCTTTAAAATGATGGCTTTAAACAAAGACATACTTGCCGAAGCACAAATTAAATGATACCGTGATCATGTTCAGCAGCACAAAGGAACAAACAACACATAAAGACACACCTGATGGAAAATCAGTGGAAGCTATTTATAGTTTATCTTTAGCGTTCTCACAAGAAAGTGAAATTCCCGGCAGTAATAACTTCTGTTCTGTTCTGTTGATTGGCTGAAAGTTTTTTTTTTTTTTATGAAAACGATGAATATCCTGTAAGTACCATTGTGAGTATTTCCTGCTGCTCCTCGTGCAAAAAAACGATACTCGAGGAAGTTCTACAAAAGCGGGAGCTGAAAGGCATTCTGGGTCTCGAGAGCAAACAGCTGCACTCTTCAGTCCTCGTCCGTTAAATTCTGGTAGCGGCTTCGCATAAAGCACAAAATCATCTTAAATCGTTGCGTCACTCTTTTCGGAGGGCCGGCCTAGAAAGCGGAAAAAGCCGCCGTATCCCTTTAAATCGGGAGAGCATAAAAAAAGACCTTCTAAACCAACAATATTAGGCGGAAAAACGCTTTCAAAAGCTGTGCTGCACCACGACAACGATGCTACGAGGTCGGCCTCCAAAGGCACAGTTTAGTCCATATGGGGTGTAAAATAAAAATAAACTGTAAGCCAGCTTATATTTGACAGCTAAGGATGATTTATTGGGAGGAAGTAAAGCGAACATATATATATAGTCTCTCTCGTTTAACCCGTACACCTGGAGGAACATCAGAAATATGAAATAAGATTTCACGCGGAAGAACATTTAAGGTCTTTTGTCATTTGTCCGTTTCCACGTTCATGTCGGGTCCTTCAGTGTGAAGCCGGCTCGCTGCTCTGCCGTCTGCCGCAGCTTTACTAGAAACCAGCAACCAGGGACAATCGAACGAGCACCGCGCCTGTGTGGAAGTCGCACCCAACGAGTGAAGGTTCACGTGTGGTTTTCAGCCTCTCCACCATCACGTAAGGCTTAACGTCTGACGTCGAATCAAACAAAGTCAGGTTGAAGGACTTAAAGGGAACGGTAGGGAGAAACCCTTCTCGCCTTTGTTGCGAAACACTTTGAGATGAGAGAAATAAGGAACGTCAACATAAAAGCGTAAAAGCAGCCTCGTATTGACCATCAGTTCAGATTCATCAATCTATGAGAAATACTGGAGAGAAAACAGCATTTTAAAGGCTTTTAATCAGTCGTGTTCAGTGGCTGATTAAAAGACGAGTGTTTAAATGTTGGGAGATTTTCCTCCAGCATGTTCTTAGATTAAAATGTATCCATTTCTTAAAAATATAAATTGCAGTCAATTACATCTTAGAATAGTATCCTAACAGCACGCTTGATACACATTGTGGTTTTCAGTGTTGTCACTGACGGCTTTTAAAGAAATGAATATATTTTAATCTCTCAGTAGCACTTTCCTCCAGATGTGCCACATATTGGGGAGATTCTATCTGCGGGGGATCCAATTGTACCCAGGGGATTACCCAGAGTCACTATGTGACTACCTCTTTCAAAAAAAGGAGGAACGTAGTGACATTTACAATCTTTTATCTCAGAACGCGCCTGTGCAATGAAAGGTGTGCAGCCGGCGTCAAACCAAATGGCACAGATGTGGAGAGGTGGATGCTTTATGGTTTAGAGTCTTAATAATGCCTCACATTCTCAGACGTGACATTTTGCACAAGTGTGATTTCTGAGCCGCTGTTGTTCACCTTTCGCACAACATACGTACAACATGCACCAAATAAGAAAATAGGTTTGAGTTAAGAATCAAAGGTTTTTATTGTCAATTACACACGACCTTTGTATTGAAATTCTTGTGCTTGCCTTTTCTGGAAAGCCAACCAATTTTAAAATTAAAACAAAAATACAATATTTACATAAATGTACATGAAATAAAAATAAGGCAGACATGAGGTAAGGGGAAAAGTGCAAAACTGAGCAGGTTGTAAAAGAAAAACTTAAATTCAATGAAATGTGTGCAATATAAATTAACAGTACAGGACAAATCATGACCCCCGTTTTTTCAATGTTTTGACAGACATTTGATAAGTTAAGCGACACACAGGACATCACATGAGATCAAACGGCTTCTTTGCATTTGAAAGCTGTTGCTTAAGAGGACGAACCTGCAGGAAACGCGACTCTGCACTTCCCCCCACTTTCATAGAGCTTTTCAATGTCAGTACCTTGTCATCACTGGGTGATGATGCCTGATTACCCGGCTTTACTCCTGCTGCTCTCTTGGGGTTCAGTTGAGTGCGCCAGTCGGCTGTTTCATTTTTACAGTAATAAAAGCTTCCCAACTCGCTGTCTCCTTCCCAGGTTCAGCCCGTACGAATGGTACGACGCCCATCCCTGTAACCCCGGCTCCGATGTGGTGGAGAACAACTTCACCCTCCTGAACAGCTTCTGGTTCGGCGTCGGCTCCTTGATGCAGCAAGGTTTGGTGGCGCTCGCGTCCTCTTTCCTGTCAGAAACAATGCTGTCACACCGGCTTTTCCTCCTCCTCCTCCTCCCTCTTCAACTGACAAGCTCCGCGATTTCCATTCCGTGACTGTTCCATGAGACATTTACCTGTCAGGGAACAACTGCGGAGCTGCGCGTTGCACGACAAAGGGAGGCTGCTGTCGCCTCGCTGCTGTTTAAGGAGGTTAGAGTGGGCGCCAGCCACTTGTCACACACACACACACACACACACTGTCAGGAAAGGACGCAACGCCGTTTCCAGCCCCGCTCAGGACCCCTTTCCCCCGGGTCGGCACGACGGGGGTTAGTTGAGGAACATGCCTGACAAATGCCAGCTGTCAGCGAGGCTTCAGCCGGCTGGGCCGATGTTTCCTGTCTCCTGCTGAACTGTCCAACAAGTGGCTACGCGCTGCGGGCTTCGTACGCGCCGACCGCCGCTTTCTCTGAAGCCATTGCACCCGTTGGACAGGCAGCTCTGCTCTTCTGCCCTTTGACCTCGTGTGTGTTCCTGACAAACGGTTTGCAAAATTGAATCCTGAATCGACGTTTGGTCCTGGTCACGGGAGTGTCGCCTCCAACTCGCGGTAATCTGAAACCATAATATCATAAAAGGTCAAAAGGTCAAAAAGGCCATTAAAAAGACAAAAAGGATTGATTTAATCATACTCAAAATGAACAATGTGTTTTAATCCGTATCCGTTGGCCTTTTTTAGTCTTCGAAAAGAATAAAAAGCTTTTCGCTGCGATCCGAAGATGAACTGGCAGAATCCAACTTTGGCTCACAGAGCGGCGACGCGGCCGACAAATGAGTATTGAAAACATTTCAATTTGGAATCAATGCAACATCTCACAGGCCAATAATCCTCCCCCCCCCGGCGGTCAGAGCGCCCCTAGTGAGTCTCCGCGTATCACTGAACTTTGCAGATTTAATTACACCCTTTGACTGAAGAACCGAAGGGAAATAACACTTTGTGTTTGCTAGATGCCCCTCAAAAGGCACAGGTGAGTAAATGAAGGCCCGGGGGGGATATTAATGAAGTCGACTGTGGAGGAAAACCAGACCTGAGCAACACAGCGCTTAACCCCAACGTAACAAGACAAATCAAAGAGGCTTAGATAAACTCCACCGTGGATCTTCGCCCATACGGAGAGCAAACACATTCAGCAATTCATTAAGCGCACCAGCTCGCCGTCGCTCTTGTCAAACAGCAGCGCCGCTAATTTGCCTGCAACTGTAGTCGGGGGGGAGGAAGAAAACCCCCAAATAATGTGCTAGTCAGTAGCATTTATTACTAAACCAGAATGTGCTGTTTATATTTCCATCGGGGCTCAACGTGTAAACCGCTTTATCTTCGTCGTTGCCGAATTAAAAGAATTAACATTTAAATCACGTCTGCCCTCGAGCAGCTTTATCTGCAATGATGAATTGATACATGACGCGTTTACATACGTGTTGCGATGCTGTGTGTTCAAATTGAGTTCCTCCCAAATTGTCTCGACAAAACACGTAAATCACCCGAGGTGAAGTTGACGGATTGATTCCGGCTCCTCGTGACTTCCACTCGCGCCGCCGTCCGCGTTTCGTCTGTGTCACATTAACAGGCGTCCTCCGCTCGTCTGCCAAACACAGTGGCAGCAGCCGCGACGGAAGCCATTTCCTCGACATGTTTAAAATGCAAATGGACGTGTTTGAGGCGACGCGCGGATTCAGAAAATGAAATCTAGCAGCTTGTCTGTGGGAGGGAGGTGTCGCAGACGAGACAAAAGAACGCAACATTCGAGGAGGTGCAAAAGCAAACACGTTGTGCACTTCAAAGGCCGTCCTGGGGGTCTCAGCTGCTCAGAACAAACATATGTCGGATCATTTCCTGTAAATGTCTCCTTTATCAAATGACTTGTTCCCCGTTCTCCCACTCTCACGGATATTATTCTTTCATGTTTCTAATATATATTTATACCCTAAACACAAAGCTTGATTATTCCTAATCCTAAGATATTTTCCTCTTTATTTGCTTCTCAATGGAAGAACTGCGCTGACATTTTCGTCTCTTCTTGAGATTCAGATCTACTTGCGATGGAATGAACATTTCCATTCACAACTGTTGTTATTTAAAAGCAATTAACCAACAGAAGCCTGCAGCTTTGAGAGGGACTCACTGTGCAGTGACGCGGCGGAGCGAGTGCTGAATGCAGGTGATCTTCCTCATGGGAACGACTTTATCCAATGGGGACGCGAGGCGTTGCTCGTGGGCTCGGATACTCGGTACAACATGTTGAGCACGGCGGACTACACGGAGTCCACACACACACACACACACACACACGCGCACACGCGCGTTCTTAAAGCATTAGAGACTAAACATCCTGTTCATTTATTCCAAATGAGAATTTGGCCTGATGTCGTCTGAAGAAATGGGAAATATTAGTAGTGACGATACGTGTATGTTTCAGGTATTAGTGACAAACTGCTGAAACACAATCCTCAGACTCCATGTTCACCCCGATGAACAAATCATCAGGCTGGATGATCATAGGAGGAGTTCTTCATCCCACATCCACTGAAATGAATTTTAGATTTTAAAAACTCAAGTCTGCCTTTAGATATCATCTACAAATAAACTCTCCGAAGCGTTTTGATGCTGGTAAATGGACCTCGAGTTAACATTTTCTTTTCACTGTTAAACAATATCCTGGGAAATTTGGATTCTATTGATGAAACAACATTTTGTTTTACAGTTTACAACGACTCTTCGGCGTTGTGAAGATCTTAAGTGTCTATAAAAAAAGGCAGTAGATAACCAGCGGCTGAACCAATACGCGTCCTCCTCCACAGCCTTTTACACTCACCGTGTCCCTGAGCTGCTCGGTGGCTGAAGGATTGTTGCCCTGATCGATGTGATGTTTGGGTTACGGTCCCACGCTGACAGCAGCACTTCACGATGTAGGAGCTCGATAGGAGTCCCCCGTTGCTTTACTTCATCCCACTAAACGCATTTGGGTCCTGGTGAATTAACCGTCTCCCCTTGTTTGTGAGCATTTAGTCTTTTGTCAAACCACGAAGGGACAAATCCAATCAAATGTGGTAGAGGAGGTTAAAGCGTTGACCACACTGCACCCCCCCTCCGTCCCCTGTGGCCTTTTTACTCTTTAGAATTGCCCTCCTAAATCTTCTGAGTAAAGTAACAGTGCATCAAGCACAAGGGGATTTTAAAGGTTGTCAGATATGAGATATAAAGTGACTTTAACACCATTTCTAATCATAGTGTCTTTGAGCAGAGGACCGCTCAAAGACACCGGCGACGCCGGCGTGGACGGTCACTCCGTCTTGATTTTACACTTGTTTTAGATTTAATGTAATAACATGTAACTGAGTACATCTGTTCAACATGATTAATGGTGAAATAATGAAGTGTGGGGATGTTTTATACTCCTAATTAAAATACTTTACGCACATTGTGTTTTCACCAGAAGGAGAACAGTTTACTGGTCCGATCTCAAATACGAGTGATTTTGGCCAAACTGCCAAACTGGCTTTGTATCCGATGGCGCTGCCGGGAACATTTGCAGGCTAATTACTGCCTTTGTTTCATTTGGTTACAGCGCTGGCGGCTAGCAGCCCATGTGGATGATGCTGAAGAGTCTCTCACTTTGTGTCGCAGGCTCGGAGCTGATGCCCAAAGCGCTGTCGACCCGGATCATCGGCGGGATCTGGTGGTTCTTCACACTCATCATCATTTCGTCCTACACGGCGAACCTCGCCGCCTTCCTCACCGTGGAGCGGATGGACTCGCCCGTGGACTCGGCCGACGACATCGCCAAACAGACCAAGATCGATTACGGTCTGGTCAAAGACGGCGCCACCATGACTTTCTTCAAGGTACAACAAAGAGCATGCTGTTGGTTCGAGGCGTTTTATCCTTAAAGTACGTCATTCTTTTAAATAACACAAGTTTGATTCATCACTGAGTGCGCTGCAGAAATAAGACCATAAAATATGTGGACGGTATTGTAGTGTTAAAACATTTAGAGTGTAGCAGAAGCAAATCTAGTGCAAATATTTATAGAAATAATAGAATAGAAATATATTTTTTTATGTGTTCACACACAGCTGGATCTTAATTCCCACAGCAAAGGCAGATTCTTCAGCTTCTCCTCTTTCTTACACTGTTTGATGTGTTCCCCCATAATGATTTTTTTTTTATTCCGAAGTTTCAGCGTGCCTGCAGGGCCTTTGAATTTATTTTATTATTTTGAGTTTTCCTTTAGATGCTTGTGCTTCTGTGACGCTGAATAACACACGTAACAGAGTTAAAGTTTCTGTGAGTAAGTGAAATGAAAACGCTGCACATCTCAATTGAAGTCACTCTAGAAGTTTATGAAATTCAACAGCAGGAAAACCAAGAAATTCTTCCAACGCTCTGCCCTAGTTTTAATGCCCCAAAATATTTCGTGGTGGGATTAACTCGTGTTCTGAATTCCCCTGCTTTGATTATCTTATTGGGTTAGGGCTGCTGCTGATACCGTATAGATTTAAACCTGGAATCGCAGCCACCGTCATCCCTTCGCATTGCATCCCATGAATACGAAATGTCATTTAAGGACAAATAGTGGATCCAATTCAACTGTTAAGAAGTATAAGATCATTTCGTGTCCCTCTTGATAAACCCTAGTTGTGATTGCAGCGCTGTAAATGGGAGAAACAGGTGTTTAATTCCCCTCGTCAGAGTTGCATGGCTCAAGTGCTTTTGCACCCCCAGAAAGGCCTAAATAAGTCAATTCAGTGAGGCAAAGTGCATGATGAATACCGAGGGCAAAGTCACAGAGATGGATGGATTTGGTCCAAGACTTATGTGACATAATTAACTAACTGCCTTGTCTTCTTTGCGCTTTCTGCAATTCTGCAACACTAAACTTTAGTTATTCCAGATTCCAGCCCCCACAACCAATACAGTATGTTCTAATTTCTCCTAGATACACACACACTTATTCATCAGCAAACGCAATATGATGTAGTACACCACCCGATGTAACAATGGCATCAAGTTCCTTCTGAGCCAAACAGGCTGCTTTACACGTCCGAGGTTGCCATGACTCTCTGTTCCATTTATTCTAAGCGCCACTTCACGGAATCCGGAACAACTCTGTTCAACCCTGACCCAGAAATATATATCTTAAAAACAGTAAAGCATCAGCGGTTGTAAATGTTATACCATACAAACGTTGAAGTGTAGAATCTGAATTACTCGTTGCTGGAATGTGTCTTTGTATCTGACCTCATCTTCAAATCTCTGGCAACTTGAAAACACTCATTGGTTGAATTCAGTCATGTTATAGTGGCTGAAAGCAAGCAGAACTGTGCTTCTACTGTAGTTACACATAATGGAAGGCTAGCAGCATCTTTCACAAATTTGAAACGGCATCAGACAGTATTTATCTGGGTATTAGACATGGCACAAATGTGACCTTATCCACAAATGCATGAAATGCCACATTGCCTGATGCAGGACTAATGGAATGGCATCGTATTATTGCTACTTGTGAGAATAGATGTGCACAGAGCGTCTTTTACTCCCGAGACAATGGAGATCAGTGGGATGTGATTATGTAAATCTATTTCGTTACTTAAAGTCTGTAAGTGAACAAGTATATGTAGCACATTTCTATTCAAACACTACAGCTCCACCGTTCACCTGCTGCAGAGCTGCCAGTGCGATGTCATGGTTATCAGTGCCACCAGCTGTAACACCTTCGGCTACGATGTTTCAAAGAAATTCAGTTTGATTCCAGACGTTTTCGTAAGGGTTACGGGCGTCGCATATTCTTCAAGCACTTTGTCCTCACTTGGGCTGAAATTAGGGTGCAAAGGCAACTGCGTTCTTTAACCGTCTCCTTCTGTCTCTTACAGAAATCTAAGGTCTCTACTTTCGAAAAGATGTGGGCCTTCATGAGCAGCAAGCCGAGCACATCGCTGGTGAAGTCCATTGAGGACGGGATCCAGAGGGTGCTGAAGTCCGACTACGCCCTCATTATGGAGTCCACAACTATCGACTACATCACCAAGAGGAACTGCAACCTGACGCAGCTGGGGGGGCTCATCGACAGCAAAGGCTACGGCATCGGCACGCCCATCGGTGAGACCGGCGAATGCGTTCGAGATGTGTTATGCGTGGATTCTTTTTTTAATTTAACCACCAGTTAGCCTGCCAAAACGTGCTTTGTGAACCTTACGATCGCAGAATCCAGCTGGCACATCCTCCAAAGTAAAACGGGCATTATGTTGCTTCCAGGCTCCCCTTACAGGGACAAAATCACCATAGCGATCCTGAGCATCTTGGAGGATGGGCGCCTGCACATGCTGAAGGAGAAGTGGTGGAGTGGGAGCAGCTGCTTGGATGAGGAGCGTCACGAGACGGGCCCCATGGGGATCCACAACCTGGGGGGTATATTCATTGTGCTGGCATCTGGTCTGGTGCTGTCGGTTTTTGTGGCGATCGCTGAATTCGTCTACAAGCTTAGGAAGACTGCGGAACGTGAGCAGGTACGTGTCATGTACATGGTGTTTTATTTCGGTATTTGATCTTGATTCTGTGGCTTGGAAAACGTAGCTCAGCGTTAATTTAATTACACTCCACTAGATGTTCTGTTTAATATACCCTGGATTTGAGCAAATAACTTATTAACCAAGCGTATTTTACAGCGATGCTTCAACCTCTAAACCAGCACTGTGCGTTTTTAGTTCAAACGCGCTGGAAAAAGGATTTTCATCCGTGGGAGTACGTAGGCCACAACGCGGCAAATTAGACTTACAGGCATCATACAAACTGGAGCATAGAGAATGAATCCATTATTAGCCAGTGGAGTAGTCAGAAAAGCATAAACGCTTTCCTGCTGCACATCACTAATCTGAGTGCGTAGTTGCATGCATGCGCATGCACCATACTGGCTCGTCCTTCTCACGCAGCGGCGGTAACAAGCCGTTGGCAGGCTACATGTGGCGGTGCTGCAATTTGACCTTGTTGACAGCCATGGACGGACGCACAAACACACACAGACACACACACACACACACAACATGATCGTTACGTCCCACTGCATGTTGTGCTCTTTTTAGACTGTCGACAAACTGCTGTCAGAACAATTTAAAGCTAAGGCATTTACTTCCCCCCTCCCCCGTCCCTTTCCCCTCTTCTCCCTTCTCGCTGGCCTCCCCGCATCCTCCCTTCTCGCCCAGAGGTCTTTGTGCAGTGCCATGGTGGACGAGATCAGACTGTCGTTCACCTGCGAGAGGCGGGTGAGACTCAAACCGCAGCCCCCGGTCATCGTGAAGACGGATGCGGTGATCAACATGCACGCCTACAACCACCGACGACTCCCGGGAAAGGACAACATGAGCTGCAGCACTGGGATGACTCCCGTGTTCCCGTGACAATGTGCAGCCCCCAGGGCAAGAGCCTACTGTGCAACTTGTCGGGGGCCGTGCCAGAGACCAGAGACAATGGCGTCGACGTGATCACCAGATTCACCATCAACCACAGTGACATGGGGACACTGACCAAACACGGGCAACTCAAAATGGCAGCGTCGGCCACGCAGGTATGACGGCGTCCGCCACCGTATTCCAAACCGCCGTCAAGTCTGATGTTTACGTGCGCGACCCCCCCCCCCCCCCCCCCCCCAAAACACGACAAAATACACATTGAAAAGACTGAGAATTCTTTTTGCAAATACGGACGGAAGCTGGACGGGCGGCTCGGTGGGAGCGGCAATAAACGACGGACACCCAAGGGGGGACGATAAGGCCACGCTCCAAAATGACGAAATCAAATTCTCACCCTCATGCTGTTCATTTAAACAATCGCCGTAAAGGATTTTTTTTTGAAGTTATTGAATTTGAATCAGTGAACAAAATGGATGCCAAAGATCTGGCCGTTCAACATAATTAGGTAGAGTACAATTCTGTCCAATTCTTGCTCCCTCTGCTTTTTAGAAAGCACCAATCTTGTGTTCAATGCAAATTAAATTAGAGTTGTTTGAAGGGGACTAATGAGGGATTGCTCTCGGTTTTACCAACCACGCAGCGTAATATGTATTCTAAGCTAATTGTACACTGTAATGTACGAGCAAACCACGTCACCTTAAAGTATTGTTAACTATCATTTAAAACAATCCTGAAAAGCAGAAGAGAAAAACAAAACCATGGACCAAATTCTAAAAGGAGAATGACAGAGATGTTGACTATTTGGACAAATTTCTAAACGTCCTGCTCAGCTCTGTTCTTATGTGTACATATATGTTTTTGCACATGCATATGTACAGATTGGGTTGGAAGGCATTGCATCAGGTATTTCTGCTTATGGTTAATAAAGAATTGTAAGTCACACATAACGGGTAAGAGACTGTGACCTTCAAACTAAAAGGCATTTTTTGTGCATTTAACTGTGACATCGAACTTTGAGCTGGACTTGTGTGGCTACGGGACCTTTGAATGTCCAAAGTACTTCTGAACACATACTTGAACAGTGAATTTATTTTCAGGTGTGATCTAGTGACTTTTTGGCAGGAAACAGGTGTTTTGTATAACGTGCGTTCATGAAAACTTAGCAATGGTTTTGGTTTGAAGGTCATCTCTTCAAAGTCACAAGCTTTTCCTGTTTAATTACCTGGTGTGGACTGGGGAAATCGATACGTGCAGTGTGTGAACATGCTGAGAGATAATATGCTGAATAGACGGAAAGAAGGGTGATGATTTTGTGTGGTCGTGTTGACTTTAATACCTATCGAATGAGTGTGTATCTTCAGCAAATGTCACGCCACAAGAAGAGAGTCTATGAGCTGCTATCACCTGGGAGCCAACGAACAGAGGACCTCTGTGAGGTTTTTGAAGTCAATGAGACAAAAAAAAAAAAAAAAAAGATGGAACCACGATTTAAGAAGACTCCAATCTGTAGAATTTAGCATTGGTTTGGTAGAGATTCACTGTAGAGCTGTCGATGGATTCTCTCCTACAAAGTATAGTATGTAGATAAGATCAGCAGGAGAAGATGTATTTTGCTAAATTTATACTATTATAAATTCATTCTGTTCACAGTCAGAAACGTTATAGATGCTATTTATTTCATTAGAGAGGTCTCCTTAACCCATTTCCTCACTTTACCCCAGTTCCACCGTCCCAGACCGTTTATTTATTTAATAGAAATGCATTATACTGTGGTGTATCCGATTACTACCATCCAGATGGGAAACTGTATGTAAATCTACTTTTATGATGGCTGATATATTTAATTGAAGTGAAATGGACATAGAACGTCCCTACTCATTTCGGGACTTTCTTGGAATCGGGAAAATAGGGTTTATCTCGTGTAACTGGACCTTTAACAGAAGCAGATCTAAAGTGCGTGCGTGGTTCTACGACATTGCTGTTTCTCTCATGTGTACTGTAGCTTCCCATGCAGGTGATTGACAGCCTCGTATTTCACCTTTTGTAAAATGTGAAAATAACTGAAGACATCATAATCCAAATGAATTGGAATTAGGACGAGGTTTTCTGCTTTGGCTGATCAGTCAGTTTGGTTGCTAAATATATACATCTTTTTTTACAAGTTAATGTGAATAATAATGTTATTTTACACAGAATCGTATGAAACTGGGGAGAAAAGTAATGCATAATGTGAGCTGCATAACCTGTGTTCCATTAGTGTGTGATATGAGTCTCTATTTTCCACCAGTCACAACGGTTTGCCTTTTTATGTACCTTTCTTTTGAGTTGCACAGCTTCCATCATTTGGCGGAAAACCTCACAAACAATACAATAAATATGTTGGTGCCAACCAGGGTTTTTCTTTGTGGACATGCAGAATTTCTATGAATATAGTTTTTGTAAGGTTTTGTAAAAAAGAAAAGGGAAAAAAGAGGATTTTGTTTTCCTAGTAACTGTCTGTGTTAAGAGTGCATTAGAATAACTGACATCTCATTGGGAAATTCAACAAAGTATCATACAAAAGCTAATGAAATATTTTCTTTTTAACGCATTGTGAATAATTCAATTGTACAGTTTGCTGTATGAGTTATATGAAGTTTTAAATAAAAATATATAAACTATATCTCCTGTTGTGATACCGTGCTTAAAGGGACACGTTTCCCCTTTTCTATTGAATAGATTCATTTAAAGGTCAAATGACCCACATTCCTTTAAAATCATCATGATTGATATTTACATTTTACAATTTCCAATATTAAATTCCACCAAAGCAAAACTGATGCTGCTAAATACAGAATGAGAGAGATTGGGAGCAAAAAGGCAGGCTAATGGATGAACAAGAAATGGAAAAACCTTTGAAGGGTGAACATGAGAAGATCTCTCAAACGTGTCATAATAACATATAAATAAATGTTGTCTTTTAAATAAGTAAAAAAACTAAGTACAATTTTTAGGATTCATTGTTTTAGTTTGGATTAAGTTTGCAGCTGCTACATGAGGCTGGTTGTATCATGTAAAACACAGATTATTGTACTACTAGAAAGGGTGAGGGGAATAAACATGAATGCATATGTGCATGAATGAATATGTGCTTTTAGGTAGCCAATCAGGTGCAATAGGCAGAGATTAACCTGGCTGGCTTTACGATGGCAGACGTGCGTGTTAAAAAAGCAGAAGAAACCCCAGGCCATGGCGTTAAGGAGCAGTGGGCGCATAATGAGCAATGGGAAGGGGCCGCGTGCCTAATGGGAAGATTTATTATCTCTCACTATCAATTAATCCCTGTAGGCCAGTAGGAGCACATCAGGAGTATGCAAAAGAGAGAGAAGGAGGCTGAGGGAGGATGAGAGGCAGCCAGCTGAAGAGAGAGAGATGTGAAAGGACGCGACACAGCGGTGCGAAATGGAAAAAGAAGAGGTGGGGAGAAAAGGAAGGGGCGAGGAGAATGAGGGAATGATTTGAAAGATATACAACGACCGTGAGGGGAGAAGAACACAGGCTCAATATACAGATGTCTTATAGTTTTGGATAACATATAAGCAGCATGGAAAGACAATGCAGGGATAGATAAGAAACTGAAAGGGAGAGCATATAACAAGTCAAGCAACAGTAGGTAAAGAAAGCCCTACAAGCCTGTGGGAGCCTCGAGGAACATAATACACAAGACTGTGGAAGGATCAGGGAACATAATACAAAAGAGTGTGGGACACTCATGGAACATAATACAGAAGGGTGTGGAAGGATCAGGGAACATAATACAGAAGAGTGTGGGACACTCATGGAACATAATACAGAAGGGTGTGGAAGGATCAGGGAACATAATACAGAAGAGTGTGGGACACTCATGGAACATAATACAGAAGAGTGTGGGACACTCATGGAACATAATACCGAAGGGTGTGGAAGGATCAGGGAACATAATACAGAAGAGTGTGGGACACTCATGGAACATAATACAGAAGGGTGTGGAAGGATCAGGGAACATAATACAGAAGACTGTGGGCCACTCAGGGAACATAATACAGAAGGGTGTGGAAGGATCAGGGAAAATAATACAGAAGAGTGGGACACTCAGGGAACATAATTCAGAAGACTGTGGGACACTCAGGGAACATAATTCAGAAGACTGTGGAAGGATCAGGGAAAATAACACAGAAGAGTGTGGGACACTCAGGGAACATAATTCAGAAGACTGTGGGACACTCAGGGAACATAATTCAGAAGACTGTGGAAGGATCAGGGAAAATAACACAGAAGAGTGTGGGACACTCAGGGAACATAATTCAGAAGACTGTGGGACACTCAGGGAACATAATTCAGAAGACTGTGGAAGGATCAGGGAAAATAACACAGAAGAGTGTGGGACACTCAGGGAACATAATTCAGAAGACTGTGGGACACTTGGGGAACAGAAGACAGAAGACTGGGAGACTAATACCACACAACAAACCGCTTTGTGCGCATGCTGTAACGATTGTCTGTTTAACTTGAAAGCGCAGAGCTCGACTGGTAATGCAATAATGAAGATAATGTCTGGAAGTAGTTCAACAAATTTAAAATATTTTAAGAAAGGAGACGTTTTGAAAATGAACCAAGCAGTTACTAACTGGTTTTCTAATACAAATGATTATTCTATTCAAAAGGAGATGCATTTGGTGGTGCTCAATTATGTCCGTGTGGCTTTTAAGAAATTGTAAATTTTCTTTTTCAGTGATGGAAATGTTTGATGTAATGAATTGCATCGGTCCGCACCCTCTTGGATGAATGCACTTATTGTCGCTTCGGATAAAAGCTTCAGCTCAATGAAAAATGTAAGTTTAAATCAAATGACATAAGGACCTTGTAGTACCTTTACAGTTATGAACATAATTTCCTCTGATTTATCCTCATTATATTTCACAGTACTTCACCATGTACAATAGAAGCTGGGCCACTTTGAGAGAAAAAACAACTTAAATGTCCTTCGTCTCTGCCATAATGGAGACGGCTTCGGTCTGTTGCTCGTGGACGCTCGTGGTGCTTTTTTCTCACTCTGGTGGCGCACGTCCAGAGCAGTTCTCTTTTTCATGACCTTGACAAGCCGTCGCTGGGTGATGTTCAGCTCGACACTCCAGGACGGTGCGTCTTAGCTCAATGGCTGAGCATCATTGACCCATTTGGGGGTGAATGAATGCCCGACCCGTGCCATGCCCCTCTCAGTGGTCCCACTGGGTGAGAAACCCATCTTGGCCGAAGCTGCGTCAGAGTATTGCCTTGATAGCGCAGCCAGTGTGGACTGAATCTTATCATAGGCAATGTCATCATCCCAGAAAACTGATTTCCCTCCAGGAAATGCATTATCTGTAGCTGTGAAGGATGCGGCTGAATAAAAATATCACCTTGGAAAAGAAGACCAGAGGTTTCACAAACCAGGAGAGAAGTTTTAATCCTCGACATTTCAATGTAATTAGAACACATTTTTGATAGGCAAGGCAAGGCTAGGCAAGGCAAGTTTATTTGTATAGCGCTTTTCATACACAAGGCAGACTCAAAGTGCTTCACATCATAACATTTCATACAATAAAGGGAAATAAAATGCAGGAATTAAAAGACAATTAAAAACAGCAAATAAAATTATAAATTAAAATCTTATTTAAATTGTTTAATTAAAGGCAGAGGTTAAAAGTGCAATGTAGGTCAAATTTAGCAGAAGGCGAAGCTGAACATAAAAGTTTTCAGTCTTGTTTTAAACGTGGTCAGAGTTGGGGTCTTAAATCTTCAGGAAGTTTATTCCAGCTGTTTGTTGCGTAGTAACTAAATGATGCTTTCCCATGATGTGTATTTACTCTGGGAATCACTAACAGATGGTGTCAGAAGATCTTAGTGATCTTGAAGGCTTATGTAGTGGAAGCATATCAGTGATATACATTGGCCCTAAACCATGTAGTGATTTATATGTGAGCAGTAGGATTTTGAAATTAATTCTCTGACATACTGGGAGCCAATGTAAGGATTTAAGAATTGGTGTAATGTGCTCACATTTTTTGGTCTTTGTTAGAACTCTAGCAGCAGCGTTCTGAACAAGCTGGAGCTGCCTGACAGTTTTTTTTTGGGAGACCTGCAAGGAGACCATTACAATAGTCTAGCCTACTAGTTATAAAGGCATGTACAAGTGTTTCTAAGTCTTGAGCTGACATGAGCCCTCTAAGTCGTGCTACATTTTTGAGGTGGTAGTAGGCCGATTTTGTTACTGATTTTGTTACTGATGACATTGAATAGAATGTACGATCAGCATCTTTCAGTAACGGTCATTCTCTATGACAGATTTCGTTGTTAGTGAAAGAGTTATTTGTAAATGAATAAGTCTCACATGCGCAGCAACATTGCAATAAATATTTAATCATTTACCTTCTATTTTCTTTACCAAATCTGTTTTGCCTCGTGGCGTGGCGTCTTTTCCTTCACACTTGTGTTTCACCGCTGTATCGTCTCTGATAGTTTTCCCTTTCGTTCGTGGGACGTTGGCCTAATAAGCAGGATTACTATCGGAGGGTCCATCGCAATAAAAGTCCAAATGATAAACAATTAATGAGTGTGTAATTACAGCACGCCATGACGCTGTAATGAAGTAGTAGCACAGAGGGAATACTCATGCATATTCTACCGTCCATAATGAGCTTGGCATTGGGCTGCATGTATCGTGTTTGTACAGGGAGACGGCATATGGCAGACTGTCTGAATGAGAGGAAAACATTGTTTATTCCGGACCCTTTCTGTTTCATTGCAAACCCCCGTCCCCACCAGCATTAGAGCTCCATCCGCACACCATCATGTTGAATTATCCATTTGACTTTAGGTGGAATAACCTGAAAGAGACAGTGCCCATGAAATGCCTTAGCGACTTGCTCCTCCGGTTCTCTGTCTTTGACCCTGGTAATGACTTTTCATGAATATAAATATAGAACTAGATGAAAGGCAATTTTCTCCACTGTACATAAAAACCCCACCCTTGAACATTTAAGTAGTGTTTGTCAAGAAGCTACTGGGCTTTTACAGACGGACATTGGTTGTGCACTCAGAAGCAAAACCCCTCTTCATTTACATAAATCGCTCGCTCCTCTCGAGCGCTTGTCACATGTCAATGACGGCAAACTGATCCGTCTGAGCTTGTACTCACTAAAAAAACTCAAATTAGAATGCACGCGATGCAATGATTACATGTTTAAACACACAATGGTTTGTGGCAGCAACTGAGACGTCACCAGATGTGTGCAGCTGACAAAACACACGCAGTCGTTTTCCGTACTGAGGGCAACAACACCTCGTTGCAAAGAGGGTCGGTGAGTCACCCGACTTATTCAAGGAGACATGTGCGCTACACGTTACACAAACAGAAATGTGTAACGGACATCTCATTAACACACACATCAATGAACCCTAACGTGGAGGTTCAATTAGAAACCTTGGGTAAGGCAGTGGGTCCCAAACTGGGGGGGGGGGGGGGGGGCGCGCCCCCTGGTAGAGGGCGTGGTGGAACTACAGGGGGGCGCCACTACATCATACATGGGTTTGTACTGCAACATACTGATGAGCAGAAGCGTTGATGAGCTGATTCTTTCCATTCCACCATTAGACGCAAACTTA